CTCAGGGCTAGTTTTCCCGTCACAAGCCTGTACTCGGCTCCCTAGTTGCTTAGTACCTGCTTACCATTTGATGGAAGAAGCTCATGCCCTTTGGCTTGCCCATAGAGCGATCTGGCACAAACCCCCATAGTGCCGGCTTAAGGCGCTTGGATATTGCTCACCACAGAGCCTAGAAGACTTTAGCTGACAAGCATGTCCAGGTTGTGACATCAGGGACCATCCACGCCTGGCTTTATCTCAGGGTCGTTTCTCTTCCCTTTGGACTATTCATGCGTTTGGCGGATAATAGCCTCATGCGCATCTGTGAGTCCCCGGGATTCTCTTGTTTGTTTTTAAGTCATATCATGGGAGAAAATTATCATAAAACACCTCAGGAGATTCATAGGAGGAACAGGCTAAAAGAAACCATCATTGTATCAAAAGTCCCCATCTCTCCCTCCCCCCAATTTGTTTGCGGTAGTTTTTGCTTGTTTGATTCTTAGATCACTGATTTCAGAGACTGGCTTTACCTTAGAAGAAACACAAGCAGGAATGCGTGTGATTATGTTGACATCATTAAGAAAGTCAGGCCTAGCATGATGTACATGCCTCCGATCTCAGCTACTTGGGAGGCTAAGGCAGAAGAACTGTTTTATCCCAGGCCTTCAAAACCAGCCTGGGAATTACAGTGAGGCCCTGTCTCAAAAACAAAAAACAAATAAACAAAAAAAAGCGCTAGAATTTCCACCATGTCTGCTGAAAAAGCGTAGAAGAATGTCTGTGATGAAGGAGGTGCTGGACTAGGGTGATAGCACTTGCCTGTAATCCCAACACCTGGGAGGCAGAGGCAAGTGGATGGCTGCAAATTTGAGGCCAACCTGGACTACTTAATGAGTTCCAGGGTAGCAAGGGCTATGTCGTAAGATAAGACCTTATTGCAAACACAAAGCAAACAAGAGCGAGAACATGGAGGAAATGTTGTCGGGGAAGGAAATGCCTACAGCTTTATTACAGTTGCACGTCTGGCTTTGTGTTAGTATCCACCTCACCCCTACCCCCGAGACAGGGTTTCTCTGGCTGTCCTAGAACTCAATCTGTAGACCGGGCTGGCCGGTCTCAAACTCAGATCTTCCTGCCTCTGCCTCCTGAGGGCTGAAATTAAAGATGTGTGCCACCAAGCCTGACACCAAGCCTGGCTTTACTTGTTTATGTTTTAGCTTGCTTGTTTTCTTTCTTTTATATTTATTTATTATTTATTGGAAGGAGAAGTGGCCTGAGTACCGTGGTGCAGGTGGTGGTCAGAGGACAATCCGGGGTGTCTTGGTTTGCTCCTTTCACTGTTTGGGTCCCAGGATGGAATGCACATCATCACACTTGGTGGTGAGCACCTTAACTCACTAACCCAGCTGGCCAGACCTCAAACTCTCAATTTTCCTGCCTCAGACTGCCAAGTGCTAAGATTGCAAGCATTCAATACTGCGCCTGGCTTTGTTTAATTTCTTTATTTCTTTTCTTTTCTTTTAGTTGTTGTTGTTGTTTTGTTTTTTGTTTTTTTCTGTGTGTAACAGCCCTAGCTGGCCTGGAACTCACTCTGTAGACCATGCTGGCCTTGAACTCACAGAGATTCACCTGTTTCTGCCTCCCAAGTATTGGGATTAAAGGCATGAACCACCACCACCAGGCTATTTAATTCCTTTAGATTATGGCATAAATTGGAAAAGAAACTGAACCAGAATGTTCAGTAGTAGAGAACTTACCTAACATATACTCTGCTTTAGATTTGTGCCCCAGAATGTCACAAATAATTTATTTTTAAATAAGCAAATAAAACAGCCTATGTCTTAGCCATGTAGAACATGCATGACTTGGAAAACAAAGAGAACAATGCTATTTACTTATTTGTTTTTATTTGTGTGTGTTTGTGTATGTATGAATGTGAACATGCAAGTGTGGAGGTCACAGCACAGCTTTGGGGCCTTCCAGCTTATTGAAGCAGGATCCCTTTTGTACCTGCTGTTGCCTCTGTGCCCCAGGCTGACTGGACTGAGAGCTTCCAGGCAATTCTTCTGCTCTGCATAGTGCTTTGAGGAAATGTTGGGATAACAGCTCCATACCACCGAATCTAGTCTTGTGAGATTGTACTCATTTTAATTTTATGTGAATCTGTGTTTTGCCCTGTCTTTACACCTGTGTGCTCCCTGTGTGCAGTGTCCATGGGGAACAGAAGAGGGTACCAGAAACTAGAATTAGGGATGGTTGTGAACCAGTGTGGCTGATTCCAGGTCCTCTGGAAGAGCAGTCAGCATTCTTAATACTGAGTCATCTTGCTGGATGGTGGTGGCGCCACCTTTAATCCCAGCACTTGGGAGGCAGGCAGAGGCAGGTGGATCTCTGTGAATCTGACGTCAGCCTGATCTACACATTGTATTATAGAATAGCTAGGACTGTGTAGAGAGATCCTGTCTCAAAAAACAAAAAAGGACTTAACTTATTTTGTTTCTGTTTTGAGAGAGGGTCTGACTATGTAGCTCTCTCTGGCTAGTTTCAGATTTACTTTGCAAACCAGGCTGGTCTTGAACTCACAGAGATCACCTGGCTCCACCTCTTGAGTGCTGAGATTAAAAGTATGTGCCACCATACCCAGCTACTTATTTTTAGACCAGTTTCCACTATTGAGCCCTGGTCTGGCTATCCTACTACCCAGGATGCTGTGCTACTATTTTACAAGTGTGTGTGGAGCGGGTACTGTGGAGTCCCTGGAACTGAAGTCACAGGGGGTTGTGAGCCACCCAGTGTAGGTGTTGGGGATCAAGCTGTGGTCCTCTGGTCTTCTGCAAGAACAAAAAGCTGCCTCAGCTTCTCAGACACCTCTCCAGCCCTGATTTAAGCCCTTCTAAACTTCCTGCTATCAGTGAGGAAAACAACCAGCCGCACAATGTGCCAAAAACTGCTCACTAACTCACTTGTGTCTGCTACCTCGCCGGCGTCTGTTGTGAGCTAGGGTTTTGTCTTTGTCATTGTGTGCCCACTCTTTTCACAGAGCCTTCAGGAGATCACACAAGAGCATCATTGCTCTCGGCTTCAAATAAAAAACTATTTTCTAGTGTCAACATCAGGTCCCTCCTGTCTTTTACGTATTAGGAAAAAATATATACAAGGTATACAGCAAGAAAAGGTTTAAAAACATACTTATTGCTGAGAACAGTTATCAGATTCTTTTTTTCCCTTTTTTTGTTGTTGTTTGTTTGTTTTTTGAGATGGGGTTTCCCTGTGTAGCTTTGGAGCCTGTCCTGGAACTTATTTTGTAGACCAGGCTGACCTTGAACTCACAGAGATCTGCCTGCCTCTGCCTCCCAAGTGCTGGGATTAAAGGCCTGCACCACCATCACCCAGATGTCAGTTTCTATTAGAAATTTGTAAGGATGTCCAGAGGTGATTTCTGTCGAATTCCATCAGATTGCTCGAGCATTCTCATGACACCCACTACCCATGCGTAGCTCTATGAGCGAGCTTGCCCTTGGTTCAGTCCCAAGTATTACAAGCTAGGGGTGTTCACATAGCATGTAAAGGCTTAGGGGGGAGCCTGACTTCTCCTAGCACTGCACAGTCGGAGCACAGTGCATACACCTGTAATCTATCACTCCGGAGGTGGAGGTGGCAGGACCAGAACCCTGCTCCAGGTCTGCTTTGGCGACAGCGTGACTCAGAGACCAGCCTGAGTACATGAAAACGTGTTTCAGATAAATAGACAAACACTTAGGGGTATCAACAAAAATTCCCATTTAATCAGGGACATCGGAATTATTTTCACAGTAAAGTAAACGAACACAATCTTACCGTGGGTGCACAGTGGAGAGGCAAGTTCTGTATTGTTGAACTATGTCCCCTATATTTTGGAAAACAATCCATGGGAAGTGAAGCCCAGTAGTCAATAAAGTGTTTAATTTGGAAATGCAAATATTTATCGATCCGATTTTCAATTTTGTGGACAGTGAAGATCTCATGAGGGACAAAACAGTACTTAATTGAAAAAAAAAAAGCAGGGAGCGGATGGGGAGGACCCAACACACAGGAGGGCTGTTTTCTGACATCCTATTTATTTACATTGACACTGGATTACATCTAAGTAAGCTGACCTTTATAATTAAAGACATGTAGCCAGGCGTAGTGGCGCATTTCGGGGCACCCAGAGATACCTAGCGGGGCTTTGTCTCAAAAAGAGAACCCTCGTGGGCGTGTCCTACGACATTTCATACAACAACCTTCCTGACTCTTTCAGGGAAAAAAAAGTAAAGTTCCGGATTGGGGACAGCTGATGCTGGCTAGCTTGCTTGGTTTAGGACTCTTCAGGAACTGAACCCTTCTTCCTGTGGGTCTCTACTACAAGGTCTCCTACATCCATTAGGATTCCCAGGGGTTGAGCGAGCACAGTGCAAAGCCCGAGGCTTAATTCCCGAGCCCAGCTTTCCTAAAGTCACTCTGAGGCCAGTGATTTTTGAGCACTGTATTTTCCAGAGTTTCGGTTTCGTTACTTGGGAAACCGGAACAATGTATCTGTTTAAGAAGGTCCCTAAGAAGATGAACCCGGCCTGTGAGTGAAGAGCCCGGTTTTCAGCTCCCCCAGATGTTAGTTATTATCGCCATTAAAGGACATGGAATCCGTTCCAATTGCACAGGAGCTTGCAAAAAGCCTCCTTGACACTTTCCGTCGCAACTTGACCCGGAGCTTAATCTGGTTGTCAAGCCCGAGGGTTGCGGTGTCCCCGCGGCAGCTTGGGGCAGGGTCACCCACGCGGTCGGCGCGGTTAGTGCCGCGTTCTCTCTAGATCCGCAGCTTCCCCATGATCCTCCCACCCGCGTCTCCGTAGCAGGACCGCGATGTTCCTCGCCTTTGGGGTGGCGAGGGCAGGAGGGTGTGGGCGGGGGCGGAGCTGGACCGGGTGGGGGTGGGGTAAAGCGAGAGGCGTGGCTTGACGCGGAGGGCGTGGCCTGGGCCTCCGGGCGTTCCGGGCGGCCGATGCCCGAAGCTGGTGAACTGGTAGTTGGCAGAGCCCGGTGCACTCGGCCCGCAGCCTGCACGCGCCGTGGTGCGAGCTGCACCCTCGGGTCCCGGCGGCTCTAGGGCCGGACTCGCGTCCCTGCATCTCAACAGGTCAAGGGAGGTGACGAGGACGCCCCAGCCGGGACTGGAGGATCGAAGGAGCTAGAAGGTAAGCCGAACTCTGCGTACCCGGGGTTGGGGGTCTGGGGTCCTCCTGGTCCCCGGCGCCGCAGTCGCGAACTTTTCGGCAGCCAGGCTGCCCCGCACGCTAACTCAAGGCCAGCCTTGCCACTTTCCGGGTAGGAACCTTTCGGCAGAATGGAGCAGAAGACAGGCGCGCGCCGCCCCTGTCTGCGGTTCCGCTGCAGGTAGCTTCTAGAAACCCACGGGGACGAGGACCTGAGAGGTCGCTTGTTCACCCTCGCCCCCTTGAGCCTCGTGTCCTGTGGGAAAATGTCCCGTTGTTGGAGGCTGGTCCCTGAGTTGCGTAACCCGGAGTCCGAGAAGTTTCTTGAGTACAGCCAGGTTCTTCCCTCCTCCGCTTCCGACTCTCCTACCCCAGCATCTGGCAGGAGATTAGTGGTACCTACTGATCCCCTCTAATTGTGATGGAGAGGAGGTGTGGGGCGGTGGTCAGCATCCTCCAGGCAGAAAAAGTTGGAGGCACTTCTGAGAACTGCTGTTCCGGACGGAGGGAGTCGGCGTTTTAAGAATAAGGATCGGCTAGTTTCTTTGGACGCTACCCCCAACCCCCACTGTTCTCTCTCCAATGTCGGGTCCTTGGTGATTGAGTCTCTAACCCTCGGTTAGTGAGTTAGAGGGGCACGGTTCGAGGGGGAGTACGAATCATACGCTTCCCGTGTGGAACCCTACTTCCATGAACGGAGCCCTGAGGGACCTTCCAGCGTCTTGCGGTTTGGGTTTTCTCCATCAATACTGTTATGCAAATCGTCCTAAGACCCTTGGCTTTGGAGGTTGTGGCTGTGTCCGAATCTTCCGAGAACCAGACAGAGCTGGCGGAAAGCCCTGACTGCCGGCGGTTCCATTGCCTTGCATTGTACTCTTTTGAAGTGTAGGGTGGGATAATTTTAATCCTGTTGGTGCGCCATGGGGGGTATGGCCGGCCGCTGAGGAACTTGGCACATTGAAAACCTTCAGTGCGGAACCGTGAACCGAGATGCAGACGCATTGCTGCCTGGGACAGTTGCAAAGTGAGAATTCGGCGCTCTGCAGTGGAGTCACTGAGGAGTCCTAGGAGTGGGCTCTGCGCAGGACTCAGGACAAGGTCATGCGGAATGCAGGAAGGTGGGGGTGGGCGGGAGCCCTCGCGCAGACCTGGGCGGTGTGAGGCTGGTGGTCTTAGATGGGGGCCCGCAAAGGGGAAAGACTCAACTTCTTCCCTGCGGCTTACAAACACCTAGCTACGGCCTTGCTTGAGTGTTTGCTTCCTCTGTCTAATGTATTTCCTTAGCTTGCCTTTCATCTTTAGTGGGAAGGATTCCGTGAGTGGGTATTCTAGAAATAGATTCACAAGTGATTGAAAATTCTCCATGGCTTGCTTTCTCCACTTAAAGGTGATTTCTTGACTGTGGAGAAGATAAACATGCCTGAAAGGAAAGGGGAGAATGGAAAGCTAACAATCCCGGGGAGAATTGGAGAAAAGGTAAATTCTAATTAAAACTAGGGGAACGCATTAGAATTCTGTGTGTCCGAGGAGAGCAAGAACCTAGGACGGAAAGTCTTTGAGGTGAGAAAGGTCAAAGTGAGAGAGACGTAGGAGACCGAGTTTAGACAGGGGTGATTGTTTCTAGTTTTGAAATATCCCAGTTTACTGACTTCGGGAATGTGGGACTAGCTGGTTTGATCCTGGGATTATCTTTTGCCGTCTGCAGAAGGAAGCTGGACTGTTACACACTGGCATTAATATACCTTATTCATTCAGTGCAGAAAGTGCATTTCTATAGGGCCCATGGCTTTGGTCATTTGTGTAACTCTTCGACCTTGCAAAAAGACAGTTTTGATGAATCATGTTGTCTTCGGTGAGGATACAAAAATCACCCAAAGGTGGTACAGAGTAGCAAAATAAAAGTCCAGACTATTTTAAATACTGTTTTTCTTGCCATATGCAGAACAAGTTGCCCTCCCACCACTTTCCCCCAAAAAAGTCAGTGTTCCGTTATGGGGTAATCAGGCAGTATCATAACCCACTGTTTCTCTGGCTTCCTACTTGGTTTAACTGAATTTTGTAAAGCGCTGGTTGAGCTAACAGGTGGCGGTGACAGTGATGTTCCTCCTGTTCTTCATCCTCTCTCTGCCTCCTTTTCATCCTTCTGGTTTTTATTTTGTTTTTGATTTTTCAAAGAATCTCACTATGTAGCTCAGGCAGCCTTTGTGATCCTCCTGCCTCAGCCTCTGCTGAGGTTACAGGCCACTACACTCAATCAGCACTCCTAGACGTCCAGTTAAGATATACATATATTTGGGTCTGGAGAGATGACTCAGTAGTTGAGAGCACTGGCTGCTCTTCCAGAGGATGCCAGTTCAATTCCCAGCACTCACATGGCAGCCCACAACTGTTCATAACTCCAGTTCCATGGTAATCAACACCCTAACACAAGCATGCAAGCAAAACACCAATACATATAAAATAAAAAGTAAACACACTTATGAATTGTAGTTTTGTTAGACACCTATTTTTTGCTTGTTTTTTGTTTTTCCAGACAAGAGTTTCTCTGTGTAATCCTGGCCATCCTTAAATTCACTCTGTGGACTATTCAGGAAATTCACAGAGATCCTCCTGCTTCTACCTCCTAGGTGCTAGGATCAAAGGCCTGCCCCACACACTCGGCATACACCAATACATATTTATCCATAAATTTGTTCAGTTAGTTACTCTCTTCAGTGTTGAAAAAAAAAGGTAGAAAATTGTTCTTTCTTCCCTTGTGTTTTGAGACAAGGTCTTGGTCTGTAGTCCAAGCTGAACTAGAATTTGCTACATAGCCTAGAGTGGTCTCAAATTTAGCACTGTATTGCCTTGACTTCCCATGAGCTGGGATTATAGGCATGAGCTATGATGTCTGCCTCCTTTGCTGTTTGCAGATAAGTCTTTAGATATTTTGTTTGCGCTGTAACAAAGAAAGCTTGCCTGAAGACCAGAGTGTGGAACTGGTCACTCTAGTTCGAGGGTAATCAACACTCTCACATTAGTTAGCCATAGAGAGACCAGGCAATGGTGGCACACACTTTTAATCCCAGCACTCAGCAGATAGAAGTTGACAGACGTCTGTTAGTTCAAGGCCACCCTGGGCTACACAAAACTGAATCAGTTTAAAAGAGAAACAGAAGAGAAACAGAGCTCACACCTTTAATCCCAGCACTAGGTGGGTGGGGACAGGAGTGATGTAACTGGGTGGAGAGAGGAATATGGGGGTGGGAGGAGACAGGTACTTATCGCATTCGGTCTGAGCTTTCGCGGAGACAGGCCAGAGACAGGATTGCCCCTTTGGTCTGAGGATTCAGTAGGGCAAGCAGCCTCTCTGGTGCTGGCCGCACTGCTTCTCTGATCATCTGACTCCGGGTTTTTGTTAATACTAATTAGAATTCGAGCTATAGAGTGTATCTTTATTTTATGTGTACGAGTGCTTGTCTACAAGTATGTTAGTGTACCCACGTGCATGTGGTGCCCGCAGAAGCCAGGAGGTGGTGGCAGAGCCCTTGAAACTGTCTTCTGGCTTCTGTGGGCCCTACATGCGAGAGGGGGGAGGGCTTACAGCCATATAGGTGCTGGGAACTGAACGTGGGTCCTCTGAGAGCAGCAAGGGACCTTAACCATTGAGCCATTTCTCCAGCCCCATCCAAACAGATTCTTACTATGTAGCTGAAACTAGACTGGAGCTCAAGAACCTCCTGCCTCAGCTTTTGAAGCACTGGGATTGTTGGTGTGCCCCGCCACACAGACAGCTTAAAATCAAGCTTTTGAAAAGAAACGGGTTTTTATTACTTTTGAAAAACCAGTGGAAAGAGTTCCATGCTCAGCTCTCATCAAATCTGCATAATCTCTCATGGAGTTAGTTGAATGTTAAAATCTAAGTCCTGAAATAGCCCTATATTTTCACTTTTTAAAAGTCAAAACTGGGCTGCAGAGATGGCTCAGTAGTTAAAGAACACTGGTTTTTGCTGTTCTTCCAGAGGACCTGGGTTTAGTTCCCAGTAGGCACACAACTCTAGCTCCAAGGTCTCTGACGCCCTTCCATGCCCCCTCTCATATATATGTTTGAGACAGGGTTTCTTCATGTAACAGCTCTGCCTGTCTTGAAACTGTCTTTGTAGACCAGGCTGGCCTGGAACTCAGAGATCTCAGAGAGCCACCTACCCTCTACCTCCGAGTGCTGGGATTAAAGGGGACAAGGGACTTGAATCTCGGATTGTATTAAAAAAATCAGTTAAATAAATGTGACCCATTTATGAACAGTCTACCGCAGCATGGGACATAAATGTGAAATATGTGGTCCTTAATAGGTATAGGTATTTTATTAATGATTAACTCTCTCTGTTTTTCTCCCTCGTGTGTGGCATATATGCAGGTAGGTGTGTGGGTATAAGCATCTGTGTGTATTCATATACAGTCCAGAGGAGGATGCTAGGTGTCCTGTGTTATGGCTCCCACTTTATTCCTTCGAGAACAGAGTCAAACACTGAGTTGGAGCTTGACTGGCACCCCAGCTTTTCACATGAACCCTAGAGCTTTGAAGGCGGATCCTCATGCTTGCCCAGCTAAGCCACATCTCTAACCTTTATTTTATTTATTTATTTTTGAGATAGGGTTTTCTGTAGCTGGCCAAAACTGTGTATATACCTGGGAATTGAACCATGGACCTGGTGCGTGCTAGGCAAGCACTCTACACACTAACTGAGCTATGCCTGCAGCCACGGCCCCTCTGATACTTAATTTCTGGTGTTTGAAACTTGTTATAGCAGAGTTGATACTGTGTGACAGGCCGTCCCTGCTGCTAATGAGTTCCTCTTTCCTGCCTGGGGACAGCTCTCCTTTAGTAGTATTCTCAAGGGGAGGACAGTCAGCTGACGGTCTCAAATTATCTGGCCCATTTTAAACATGACTAAGTGTTCCTTGTTAGAATGAATTTTTCCTACTGAAAGAGTTTTGTGCCAAGTGGAGCCTGAAGGAAATAATGCTATGAAATCTCTTGTTTATTCCTGGTCCTTCTTCAGTGTGCCAGACAGCGATCTAAGCGTGACACTGGTGAGCCTGGGTCCACAGAAGAGCGATCAGGTACATTCCCGGAGAGCCCTTCTGGGTTGATTTCCATGACACACGATGCACACCTCTTTGTGACTCTGGAGCTGGAGTTCATTTTCCCTTTTAAAATCAGGAAACCGAGCTGCAGCTGAACGCCTTGACTCTGCGAGTTGAAGCCCGGCTGTACTTTCTAGCGTGGTACACTCTGTTGGCTGTGCTGATATGTGGTTTCCTGTTTTTCAAGAATTACAGCTTGACTCTAAAATATAAATAGTCTTTCCCCTTGGCTAAGTAATTCTTTCTCATCGCTATGGGAGTGAAGAGGTAAGCATTTTCATCCAGCATTCCAGGTATATATATAATGTGTGCCCCCAAAGGAGAATGTTACGCAGACCTATTTGACAGAGAAATTGTATCTCTGCACTGAGCGTCTTAGCCTTGCTGGGCCTGTTGTACAAGTCTGTAACCCCAGCCGTTCAGAAGGCAGAGACAGGAGAATCACAAGTTCAAAGGGAGGAACTAGAGAGATGGCTTAGTGGTTATGAGCACTGGCTGCTCTTCCAGATGACCCAGATTTGATTCTCAGTACCAACATGGCAACTCCTAATGCCCTCTAACCATCCAGTCTCAGGCAATCCAAAACCTTCCTCTGGCCTCTGTGGACAATGCCTGTACATGGCACATGCATGCACAGACTCATGCATGCAAAGCAGACCGTCATATGCATAAAATAAATAAAACCTCAAAAAAACAACAAACTCAATGGTATCCTGAATAACTTACTTATGAAGTAAGACCTATTCTTAAAATACTGCTAGGCATGATGGCTCAGACTTTTAATCCCAGTGCTTGGAAGACAGAGGCAGGCTGATCTCTGTGAGCTCAAGGCCAGTTCAGTCTATGCGTCCTGAGATCTGTCTTACAAAACAGGTACCGATGACAAATCAATCAAAAAGGGCTGGGCGTATAGCACTGTGCTTGAATAGGTCTCTTTCCTGGGACGACACTGGGGATAGATAGCCTACTCGTGAAAAGACCGAGTCTCAAAAGCAAGGTGGAACCATCATCCATGTGGCCCTCTGGCCTCTGTCCATGTGCACCTTACAAACTGGCTCCTTCAGTTCAGAAAAGCCATTCTTGAGTTCATGAAAGCTCCGTTTTGGCTTTCAAGAATACATGTCTGAGTAAATCCCTCATCCCTGCACTGTTTCCTTTAGCCTTGTCTATGCGTTGAGTGTGTATGTTGTTGTGGTGATCATCGGGGTCTCCTGACGGGCTTCGTAGCCCCCGATGATCCCATTAGTGCTAGAGTGCTTGATTTGGGTGTGTCTGGGATGCGGGTGCAGAATTTGCATGTGTAACCAGGAGCTGTTGCTGTTTCTATTTCTGGAACCAGCTTTAGCACC